GAACCGGCGATGGGAGGGGGGAAGTCGTCACAACAACGTCGCGCCCTTGCCGATCGGTGTTGATTCTAGTTGCATCACTGGTGGAGGTGACCGGAGAAGGCGACGTGAAGGTGACCGGAGACGGTGGAGGTGACCGGAGACGGTGGAGGTGACCGGAGAAGGCGACGTGAAGGCGACGTGAACTCGATGGGGGGAAGGGTAGTTCTRGAAAAAACAACCTCTGAACCATTAGGCAGCCCATTAGATGCAAAATGGTTAAGAGGAGGATTGTAACCATTAAGAGACATTTTTTTTTTGCCAAACACTACCAACATCTGAGCGATTAATGTCACCGTTAAGAGGAAACAAACAACCCCTTAAATTCTAATAAGAACTTGAGCTATACAAGAACCTCTATTCTTTAACGGAGGTTGTTGTAAAAACACAAGAAAAAAATTTCAACAATGGATGCTCTTAAATCAAAACCAAACCTTATATAATTGTTAACGGTTTTGCAATTCCGCTAAAGGTGGGGAATGGTTTTTGTAGTTCTTCCATTTTATCGGTGCTTTAAAAACAAGGGTTTCAGACGTTTCGCCGATCAAGAGCAGTCCATGGCGTCGCCGGCTCAAGACGACGGTGGTGACGCTGTGCCGGTAGTTCTCACATGCATTGATCGTCATGAGCTGGTTGAGTATAATCCTACTCAAGATAACGACGAGGTTGTGATATCAACAACGGATGTTCACAGTTGGAACATTCCGTCAATTCTCCAACACAGAATCATTAAAGTTAAAGCTCACAGAAACAGGTAAACGATGATTTTCAGTTTCGATTATCATAGCTGGTTGAACTGTTCAATTGTTGTTCAGCCTTAATCTCTCGGAAATTTAGCAAGATACTGTTTCTGTATGCTATTTTACAGGCTCACTGAATATTCTTCTTATTTCCGTGGACTCCTTGGAGGAAACTTCAGGTAATTATCTTTTCGATAGCCTAGCTCTTTCCGTCCAACATTGTTTTACTTCGACTTTACTCGAAAGCATGACATTTCTGAACATTGTACTTGGTACATTGTTCTTAAACAAGCTTGAGTTTATGTTTACTTCGTTTTTGTTCTTTTTTGTTCGTAATCTCACAAGTAGATAATTTGTTTTAGAAATCTAGTGCTAATAGTAATAAAGTTGTTCAAAATACTAATCCAGAAAAGAATACTCTTTTCATTTTGGAAATTTAAGCATTCGATTCTTCAAATTCAAATTGGCATCGAGTCTTTTAGATTTCAGTTCCACAATGTTCCATTGAATCAATTTAACAATTAGTTTTTTAGTACATATTATTCTTGTTAACATTTGGAGTTTCAAAAGCAACCTATTTTACAACCGGAAGTAAGATGTGGTATTCTTTTGAATGCAGCAAGTACGTGACACGATCGTAGTCTGCATGTTTAGTAGGTTAATTGTGTAGCAAAGGTTTGATTTGATTTTTGAGTCATAATTCCTTCTTGAAACTTGGATATATTCATGTTAATGTTGTAGTTGAATGTCAGTTTTTTAATTCTGTAATGTCAAGAAGGGACTTCATTCAATCATAATGGAGGGAACATTATTGCAAATTTGCAACCCTATGAGGGCATGGAGTGAGTTGACTTGAGACATGTTTAGTAGGCTTGAATGTTGCTGAAATTCGTATATGTTTTCCATAAATATGAATTTCTTTAGATTCAAAATGATATAATATCAGCGCATTACTTCTGAGTGGTATATCTAGTTTTTCTGTTAATTTGTAAGAAACTAGAGGTATCCAATATAACTATGCATAGATGTATATCTATGAGCTTCCTGTCATGCTGTTTAATTCTTTCTTCTCTTCTAATTGTTTATATGTCATCAGTGATCCAGACCTTGAAGTCTTAGTTCAGTGGAACCAGCCAACATTTTTGAGTCTCCTGGCTTCATTGTTTGGTTCTCCAGTGGATGTTACCTCAGAAAATTTTCTTTCTCTATTTGAGGTAAAAATTTGATTATTGTTGAACAATAAAAAATCAGCCATTCCCTTATAAATTGCTTGTTTACCTCATCATTTCCTCCTGCCACCATCCATATTTTCATCTTCCCCTAAGTTTAAACCCTGATATTGACACTTTTTGTTCTACCTAAAGTAGCACATATCATCTGTGGCAGTGTTCACTCTCATTTCTAGCTTGGATTTTGCAAGTCAAACTTCCAATGTCACGTGACATCTCAGAAACATGTTCTTTTTGTTATTTTTTATTGGTACCACCATTTTAATGACCTTATGGATGTGTTCAGTTGAATATCAGTTTTTTGATATTTTAATGTGTATCCGACGTAATTTGCTATTCTTTTGTTAAACTAAGTTGTGGATGCTTAACTCTTCTTGATCAATTGTGCCATGGAAGTGGTCTCTAATCTTTCATGAAATGTCCTCTATATATTAAGGGGCATATCAGGTAGTCAAACTAGTCTACTCACCTACTTTGTGTCGGTTTCTGGGTATTGAGCTTTATTTTACCTTTGTATTGTTATCTATTTTAATCACCCAGTATCCATTGGTTCCTCCTCATTTGTTAAACAGCAAGCACTCTATTAGTCTTGTTAAGGACAATGTCTAAAAGCACTATGTTCTATCATAGTGCATATGTTTTACCATCACATGGCAACAGGTACTGGCCTAAGAGCATATACTTGAAGCAATCTAAAGTGGTTGGTATCTTAAATGCGTTCCTTTTTGTACTTGTCTTTTGGTCACAGCTCCATGTTGCGCCCATAATCATGCGAGACATGTGAATTTGACTTTTCCAATTTATCATCGTTATATTAAAGTACTGCCTCAAAATCAGAACAAGAATCCATATTTCAATTTCAAGGGTGAAATTGGTTATTTTTAACTTCAAATCTGACGAGTTATTTTCTTGGTGCAGAATTTTGATATGGACTATACAAAGAGTATAAGAATAGAAATATATTATTTTGAAGAGAAAAATCTAAAAATCAAAGTCAAGTTTGAGCATTTAAAGTGCTTATGTGGACAGGGAATGATAATTACCAGTTACGCACCAATCTCATTTTTCTCTCTCCTTATCTTACTAATCCTTCCATTAGAGTTAGTTCATCATATTGCCCCTACATTTTTATGCTTTAATGTCCTCATATATGGTATCTAGCAATAGGACTCATGAAAATAGGTTATTTATAGAATCTCGTCCTGCCTAATTATTTTTGCTATTTGCGTGTAACAACTTTGGCCATTAGGAGTTTCATTGCTGTTTATTCTTCCTACAAATAATTTGTACACTGCTTAACCATCACATTTCCTTGGATTCTCGAAAGTTCACAAAATAGTAGATGTAACAATTTATATATGATATGATTTCATTTTTGGTTTTTCAGGGTGCACTTTATTTTGGTATGGAGATGATTCTCTCAAAATGTAAGATGTGGTTGACTAAGGCAATGTCAGTAAACAGAGCACCCTTGGTACAAGTTAATGATCTTATCGGTATCTGGGAATTTGGTTCTGAAATCGGTGAGCTTACTGTTAAGAAGTGGGGTTTTTTATCCCTTGCCAAATACCTGCATCAAGTGCTTTCGGGGTGCAATTCTTTCAGTGTGCGGTGGGGTTCATATACTGTAGATGAAGTCTAAGTTTGTTAGGGTATAAATTACATTAGCTTAAAAATAGGATGAGAATATTTCGAGTCAGTCTTCCCTAATTTTGTGGGGCTGTTACAGCTTGTTACATTATTTAAAGAAAACTGATGCATGTTAATAATATACATAATAAACTATTCAATTCTTTACATACCATGCAGCACTGACCTTATCCCTGAATTAATGACCACAAAATCATCTGTATACAAAACTGGCAGCGCATAAGAGGAAGTTTTGGTCTTCCTCTTCCAACAGGAGACGATCATTCATCTTTAGCAAAACTGGAACCCTAAGGCTAAAAAAGACGACAGACGAAGTTACTTTTTAGGCAGTGTCGACTAATATGGATTCACTAACGGCATGATAAGACTAATGTTTTACCATTTTAGTGTGTATTTATCTTACATATTTAATACATGAATCATGAAAGAGTTTTATTGGTCAGGTTTTGGACTTGTATATATATACACACTTGTACACTATACAAATACAACCATAAAATCTTAAAATATCTGGATTCCAATATCTATGCGTTAGGTACCTGCATCCTTTGAACGTAGGTTTAGCACTAGTTAATATTGATAGAAATGATTAATTCACAAGATGTTGGTGGTGTTATGCCTGACAAGCTGAAGGGTTATGAATTGCAGTGAACAACTATCTTCCCGAACTATGTACAAGTTACCTTGCAAAGAACTTTGTACGTATATTACTTGACTCATCTCAACATTTTACTGACAAATTATATTTAGTAACCTTGGCAACTCGCCCTGTACGACCAATTTATTTTGGAAAATGGTTATAAATGGGATATCTAAAACCAGTATCCTAGCAGATGGCCAGATGCCAATGTTCTTTGGTAAGGGCTAGATCCCCACATGGGATGCTAGAGATCTTATGCGTATAAAATGCTTTATCTTTGATTTTCCTTGGACATGTGAACTTAATATGGTCATGATGCATGCACCGATGGTTATCTCCAATATTAAGAAAGTGATTGATCTTTATATTGATGCTAGTTGAAAGAAGTGCATATGATATTTGTAAACTAGAAAGATTAACATGAGTATTTGCAGACTTGTGGTTCTCCATAGTCAAAAGACTTACAGGATAAACCACAATGTTGTTAACTATAAAAAGATAGGAACTATGGCTTCAGACGGCTTATCTGAACTTTGAAGTCTGCATGATAAAAGTTATCACATGTTTGGTCAATCATGTTGAACTACTGATATTTATCAATGCACAAAGGTTTGATTCATGCAGATTTGGGCAATGTCCTGCAGTTCTTTTGGTGATGTTCCCCAGGATTTGTTGCTTTCTAGTATACAACATCCTCATTTGACTGTTGATAGGTTAGTTTGAATTGGCTATAGCTCTACTGTTTCATAGTGTAAAACAGAACATATTAATGTTCTAGATATCCCCAGTGAAGAACATCTTTGTGGTGCACTTCTGGCTTGGATTGCTGCTAACAAAGAACGATGTACTGAAGATGTTTCTATCGACCTTTTGAAGCAGGTTAGAATATGTCTTAACATCTATCGAAATTTTAGAAACACAATGTCAATATTTCCACTATCATCACCATTTATCTATTGAATATATGTTTTAGTCTTGATGTTATTGAATTGTTGTAAACCGTTGCATCTTAAAAACTAATACAAGATGAAATGTTACTATAACATGCAAGTTCTTCTAAGATTAATGCTGATCTCCTATCTTCTTAAAATGTTTATCTTGCATTCTCTCATGCATTTTACTTTGCTATCCTTCATCTATCTCTCATCATTTTGAATGTTTTGTGGCTTTCGGTTTAGTTTTATAAGAGTTCGATAAGAAATGCAATATCCATAGACAAAAACTAAGAGACTCGATTGAATGATTACTCTGAAATGAGAAAGGAATTACAAGGAAACAGAAAACAAGGATCCACGGACTAACTTCCCTCTCTCAAAGCAAAAGCTAAGAGCCAATGAAGTCACAAGATCATTCTCAATGCCTTTCACGCACTAACCCCTCCCTCTATTGATTAGACAATTCTTCTTTCTAATTGTAACTAACTGGGCCAAATTTCCCCTTTGGGCCTTCTAGAATACACTTTCCATACCCTTGGTTTGGGCATGACTACGATCACTCTTGTTGGATCTGTATCATTACTCCCTCCTTCCATTAAAGTCTTGTCTTCAAGACTTGCATCGGGAAATTGGTTCTTAATTGTATTAGCATCCTTTCAAGTGGCTTCCTCCAATGTATGTTCTTTTCACCATATAAGCCATTGTAATACCGATTCCCCATCTTGAAGTACTGTACGTACCACACAAATAGCTTCGGAAGAAAGCATATTAGTGGCGTCCAACTCTAGTTCGGGTGGTGGTACTTGATCAACCGTATTAGACAACACGACTTCTTTTAATAGACACATGAAAAACTGGATGCACCCACGACAAAGGAGGTAAATTCAGTCCATAAGCAACCGGTCCGATCTTTTCCGCAATCTTGAACGACTCAAAATATCTAGCAACCAGTTTCTGATGGATTCGGTGATCAACGGTCATTTGGTGATACGGCTTGAGCTTGATATAAACACATTCCCCAATCTCGAAACTAACATCTTGCTGCTTCTTACGTACAAACTTACGGTAATAGCTCGTAAAGTCCAAAAAACCATGTAAACGTTTTAGTTGTTTTGGAATTGGCCATTCCGAGACCTTTTTAGGATCCATGGCAACACCTGGCCTTTGTAATGTGTCCCAAAGATTCTATAGAAGAGTGCCAAAACAAACATTTTCCACGATCAACCCATAATACTTAACAATTTGTTAATGACTCCGCAATTGACAAACCGTCGACAATGATCAACGTGATTCTTCCAACGATAACCACATGTGTAAGGATTCCTTGGTCACTTGAGAATTAGACTACCCTTGAATACACACTGAATTTCCATGTAACATGAATCTTATTAGTTGCTGCTTCCAATTGTGAACCACATCTCCCAAGGTCTTGAGCCACTCCATGCCCAACACCATATCCAAATGCCCTATATCGAACAACAAAGCCTCAACTTCGAATTCATAGGCTCCCACTAAGACTTTGACATTTGTACAATGTTGATTAATGAAGATTTTACGGTCATCACCCAATTGAATGTTGATGCCTGAAAAAGAATTGAGGCAATCCCAATGCAGTCACAAGTTTTCGCGATACGAAATTACAAGTGGCTCCACTATCCACCAAAATCACCACAGGAATTCCCATGATTGCCCCTTCGAACTTCAATGTTTTGCCCCCAGAAGACAAATCGGCCGTTGCCCCCAAAAATTCAATGCCGTATACAATCCGGTCAGAGGAGCCGTTTCTTCTTTAGCAACTTGTTCTTCAAGAGCATCCAAAGCGTGGATCTTGCCTTCATCGTCCATAGATTTATCATCTCCCAAAAGGAGGATCCGTAGTTTCCCTTCAGGGCACTTATAAGCTGGATCAAATTGCTGCCACAACGAAAACATAAACCTTTTATCGTCGCTCCTCCCATTCAGTGCACGTAAATGATCGAAACCTCGATTACGACTGAAACAATTGGGACATGTTTCACGATGAAGCCCCTGGAGTATGGGTCTAAGGAAATTAAGGACCTGAATCCACCTGTTGGATTGGGCTTTTCTCTCTGATGTTAGAAGTATTGGGCCATTTTTGCTCATAAAGGTCTAATGGAGTAGATCTCACATCGAACTGGAAAGAAAAACCAAGCCCATCTCCTCTTTGGTAAAGAAACCGAGAATGGGAATTATTCCCTGACGAAGGCTAGAGCATCTTCTCGACGTCTTTTGCCAAATACATAGTATCAAGACATGATTGAGGGCGATGTAGGCGTACCCAGCGCTTCACCTCATCTCGTAAACCAACAACAAAATAACCCTATGCCCAAGATTCAGGCAATCGGGGAACTAAGGATAATAAGTATTTGAAATCGTCAATATAACTGTGGGTAGAAGCTACCTGTTTAATCATAGCTAACTGTTCATAAGGATTCTGAATCTCGAGAGCACTAAAATGTTGCCATAATTCGCTTGTCAATTGTTCCCAAGTAAGTGAATCATAATTTTGCTTAACAATCGTGAACCAATGTTGAGCGACTCCCACCATAATCAAACGTGCCAATTGAATTTGAGGGTGAGATGGCATACCATGAATATCGAAATACAAGTCTTCTGAATCCATCCTTGAGGATCAAAGTCATAGAACTCTGGTAGTTCTATCTTCTTTGCAGCCGAAGGAAAAAACTGGATAGAGCCCATTTGCGACCCTAGAATTTGAGAATTACCTTCCTGATTCATCGAAATACCACCTCCTTGAGACAGTGGTGGAATTAGAGAACTACCTCTCTGATTCATCGGAGTACCACCTCTCTGAGGGTTGATGGAATGTGAGACTTGCCGGAGACCACATTCGGTCCTCCACTTCCGTAATTAGGCCGTTTACCATGTTGTTCTTTACCCATGACATTACAATTTTCTGAAATTCCTCCTCTTTAGTGCGATCTGATTCCCAAGCTTAAATCGTAGTTTAGATCTCTAGGACATCCGATTGAAGCTTTTGAAGTTGCTCTTCATGTTGATCTAAACAAGCTTGTTAAGATATGTAGAATACGGAAAAGATTGCTTCAATGTCTATGTCTCAACTCTGAAGACTTCTCTCCACGAATTCTGAGAATTCAGAATTCAGAGTTCAACAAGATGAGATATTCTCTTAAGTATACCTCTGAAAGAGTTAACTTCAGAGATCTAAACTTTCAGAATTCAGAGTCCGATGCTACTTACACATTGAGTTTGGAAGTCCATCCAATGTTGAGCCTACAATGGCACAAGATGCTACTTTCCTTGACACTTGCACAAGTCAGACCTACCTAAACGGTTTGTGAGTCAAATTGTCATAACATCCATAGTTATTCCCTTAGTGGACATTCAAGGATTAGATGGAAGACCTAGTGAGATGAACATAAACAAAGTCTCATTTCAAGATACATCAATTGTACATGATGAATTCGTTTCATCCACAGGCCATCCTACACCTGTAGGCATGCTAACAGGATTATCTGTTGATCCTGGTTTCCTATCCACAATGGTCACACATACTGAATTTCAAAACTTCAGTGACTTCTGTAAGAGTGAATTTGCAAAGATTCCTTCCAAACTAAATGAATTGACGGCTACAAATCATAGAAGTTTGGAGGATAGGATGGAATCAATGGAAGAAAAGATTAGGGGGAAGGCCAAAGATTATTGCTAAGGAAGACTGGCCAAATGATAAGAAGCTAATTGTTTGGATGAGACAGTAGATTGAAGCACAGTTGAGTTACAGGGTTATCATTCAACAAAAGTTCATTCCAATTTTGAGTGACAGAAAGTTTGACATTTGAAGCAAAGGGGGAGATTGTAGAATACATAAATGATTGCTTCAATGTCTTAAGTCTCGACTCTGAAGACTTCTCTCCAGAATTTTGAGAATTCAAAATCCAGAGTTCGACAAGATGAGATATTCTCTAAATATAACTCTGAAAGAGTAAACTTCAGAAATCTGAACTTTCAGAATTCAGAGTTCGATGCAAGAAATCTTCCAAGTCAAAATGTCTAAAAGGTCTGAAGAGCCAAAGGACGAAAAGTCTGAAGAGCCAAAGGACAAAAAGTCTGAAGTACAAGAGATCAGAGTTAGAAGATCAACTTTGAACGAGTTGAACTTAGACGATTTACAGAATAAGGCTTCTCAGAAACGACGACCATCTCTAACTTGTATCATTTCTTACTTTGTTCTAGTTTGCAATTTGATTATTTGCCAAATTTACAAAAACCAAATCAAACAGACTAGTAAACATGCTCGAAAGTAGCCTCGCCCCGGGGGGGGGGGGGGGGAAGGGGGACTGTACGTAGACATGACCTCTACCTCAAAGAGCAGAGTGGCTACTTTTGTGAAGACCCCCGACTTGCGTAAAAGTATGAGATAATATGAAAGAAAAGTAATGAGTAGGGACATTGAAAACATACAAAAAAGTAAGTTAAGGCAAAACATGCACAAAACAAGTATGACAAAACACACAGACCAAACAAGGCCCCTAGCCTAAACTGCGAGCCATCTACCCCTAACCTTACTCCCTTTTTCCGAACCACGCTAAATACATGTCCCCCATCTAGTTTGCTACCCTGATCCTTTCGTCTCTAAGTACAACTATTAGAAGTCCTGTCCTCGGAAATATCTTAAGGCCCATGTCCATTCTCAATTGCTCATCCACGTCCTCCTTGGCCTTCCCCTCCTTATTTCCTCAACCATCACTATTTCTACTCTCCTACGGTGCCATCGTCGGTCGCATAAGCACGTCCCAAGACCATCACAATCTCTCCTTTCTCAATTTATCTGTTATTGGGGTAACTCCCAACTCCACTTGGAAAACCTCATTCATAATTTTGTCTGACATGGTCCGACAAGATGCCTAACTAAACATCCTTGTTTATGCAGCTTTCAACTTACTCAATGATGTTCCTAGTCGCCCACATTACAACCCATGCAACATAGCTAGCTTGATGGCGACCCTATAGAATTTTCCTTTCATTGTTAGTGGAACTTTCTTGTCACACAACATCCCTGTGGCAACTCTCCACTTTAGCCATCTGCCTTTATGCGATATGTTATGTCTTCATCAACCTCTCTCACTTTTTGGATCATGGAACCCGATTTTATGAACTCCATGCGAGCTCTCTATCAGTTTGGTTCTCATAAAGAATTTTTTCTCTACATCCTAAATTGCTTGTTTGAAACATGTGTTGTTAAGAATTACTTAGACATTTCAATTTGAAGATTATGGTCTCTTATAATATGGTTACTTCTCTCCAGTTTATCTTTCAAACTGTATCTTTCTTCAATACGTGTTCCAATGTAGCACTTTCCTCTTTCCAAAAATCCTATGTAGCATCTTTTTCATTTGAAGGAACTTTTTAACCAGTCCTATTACATAAAAGCTATTGTATGCTTGTTGGGAGCAAATAAATATACACATATCTGATACTATTATGCTAAATTGTCTGAAATGGCTACCTATTCCATTAAATCCGCATAACAAATACATGTTGCGTGTTAAAGGTGCTAATAGTTGGTGTGCACTCAATGTTGTTTTATGTAGATTAATGATATGGTGACAACAATGTGTCATTTTATATGGACGATTGCATGAACAATTTGCATATCATATTGAAAAGTGAGCTTACATACGAGGATTACTGCAACTTAAATAGACAATCCTAGAATTCTAAAATGACAATGAAATGTTTACGTCCTTTGGCTATATTATTTCTGAATATTGAGGCTTGGTTATATGTATATTACATCCCGTTTTGGAACATTGGGTGTATTATGTTATGCATGCTTCTTGATGCACCCACCTTTTGTGTGCAGATCCGTATTAGCCTTTTGCCGCTGTGGTTTGTTGCTGGTATGTTAAAAAATATCATGTTTTTCACATAGGATGTTTTGGTAAACACTATATAGGGCTAGTGTCTAGTGATTCATAATCTCTTTGGCAAAAAAATTGATTGAATTTCATTCAATAACAGGGAAAAGCACCTATCAGTCCTTATCCATGTGTTCTAATGCAAGCTCCTGCAGATCCATTACCATCCTGAAACAACCTTCTACATATTATATGGATGCGCTAAGAGATGGTGACTTGCATAATCTTAGAATCCGTTTGACAGAGTTCACTCAGGTGTGTACTGCCCCTATGCCAATAATGTTTTAACCTGCTTTTCAAATTTGGTTATCTTTGTGCAACTTTTGTCTTGAATGCCAAGGAGTATTCACGTCAATAAAACCGTCTCTTTGTGGAACACAAGAGAAAGGCTGCATAGAAAAACCTCTCCTGAATCTATGTTAAGCTGATAACCGAACTGACTCACTCTTTAAGGTCTCTATCTGTAGAATCATTTTAAAACTCAGGGATACATAGAGTTAGGCGAGGATCTAAGCAGTTAACGCGGTCCATTGCGGAAATAGCGGTCGGGACCTTGATTTGAAATAGCAGTTGTCGCGGTGATATAGTGGTAAAAAAATTATGTCTAAAATAAATACGAAAATATATAAAACTTAAAATATTGTATGTCTAATACATATCAAGTCAAAAAATTCAAACCACACAAACAACATAGTAATAGGAGCTGTGCTGTCGAGATGAGAAGAAAAATCGAGAAGAAAACTTAAGTAAAAAAATCGTGGAATCGGGAAGTAAACTCGAGTTGTTGAAGCTTTTTGGACTTGGAACCAATGAGCTGAGCTTTGGAAGTTTGACCTAATTGTTTCTATTGTTGATTTAATTGGTTTCCTTTTTGTTTACAGGCCTAAGTTTGACTCTAAATAGCCCACATGAATGACACAATGAGCGTCCAAACATAATTTAAAATTAAAAAAAGGAGTCCAAAAGAGCCCAAAAAGAAAAATCGGTATAACAACCACTATTTGGTATTAAAATTGCAGTCAATAGCGACAATAGCGGCCAGTATTTGAGGTACCGCTATAATACACCTCTATTCATGCACCGCTATTTTGGCCAGGACTGCTATATGCTATTTCGCTGATATGGCGCACTATTAACTGCATAGTCGAGGATTGATTTTATTCAATACAATGTTAACCGTGTATAGTAGGCATGGAGATATTTTACTGGATGAATACAATGGGAATATTCATTTTCTACTTAAATAGCCAAGACAAGGTCTGCAGAATATAGAAAGACATTGCTAATTCTGAAAATTTATGAGTTTTCAAATTGGCAAAATCTATAGCAACCACAAAATTCGCCATCCAAATCTCTTTGAAATTCCTTTATGTAGAAAAAAAACATTTTGAGTTACACTTCCTCTCCCTGCGTAACCGCAATCCCTCTTTAGAAAAGGGAAAACATGATGAGTTTGGTGGTAACATTGATGGTTGCTATGTGCTAGCTCCATTATGTTTCTGAGCGTGTTCTTCATCATTGTTTAATACATATGTTTGTTGTATTTGCAGCGAATGGATCTTTCAGGTTGTCCACAGATAAAACCAGCAATTATTCTCTTGTCCGTGCTTCCTTGTCCCCTTAGCTTGGAACCCCTGTTGAGGAAAAAAATCAAGCAATTAGTTATCAATCATGAATTGCTTAATGGAAATGCTTTTAAAATTTCATGGGAAATGTGGCCAAACTTGATCTTTGAAGCAGTGCAGGAGATAGATATCTCCAATTGTCCCATGCTACCTCTTGAGGTGGCTGTTGAGTGCTTTAGCATGTCGTTTCCATCCTTGAGAACGTTGAAGGCGGCTAATCATCTAAGCTTCAGTACAACAAAAGTGTTGCAGCTGGTGAAGAGATGTCCATTACTTTGTGATATTGACTTAACTGTGGATGTCAGTCCAGTGATACCAACACGAATGTCAATTTTATCCTCATTTCCTGCTACCCAAACATCTTCCGCGTCGTTTGATTTAACTGGTTCTCCTTTGCCTGGTTCACGGTCTTATATGTCTAGACCATTGCTATCCAATATTACAAAGCTCACTCTGGAGGGGCGTATTGATGTCTGCGGTATAAGACTATCTACATCTTTACTTTATGAATTGTGTGGTTAATAGCCAGCTTGTGGGATTTACTCTACTAGTGAATAAAATAAAGTTCACCCTATGCTCGTAAAGTGTGTGACATAATAATCTATTGTATACTTTATAACTTTGTAGAAAAGCTGTAAACGGAATATCGTTAAATAGTTGTATATTATACGTTAGGTAGTTGTACAAATTAGAAAGCAAATCTATTAAAATAGGTACCTATTCCTTAGCAAGTAGTTAGATGGATATCTCTAATGTATCTAATATCACCTTATGACTCTATCACATCAGTTGAGCCTTTGATTTCTTTAAATCACATGGTGTTAGAGCTCGAGAAGAATGATGGAGTCTTTAATCACATACTATCTCAAATAAAATACATTTTGTATCTTCTAAAAGATACTGGAATGACCGCTTGTTGGCTGATAGATACCTTAATGGATGGAACAAGAAGTTGGGAGACATCACCGATTGAAACTAGTCGATGTCCAACAATAATAACTAGTAGGACGACTTAATTATTACACACTCTACTTGAGATACCATTCACTGTTAGCTTGGTTGGCTGTTTCATGCACTATCTGTATTAAGAATACCTTGAAGCAGCCTACAAAAATTTTCAGATATTTGAAGAGTCATCCTAGTAAAAGCTTGCACTTTATAAAGGGTAAAAGCCGAACCACTAATGCAAGTTGGGCAGACCCAACAACAAACTAAAGATCTAATCTGGTTACCATACTTATGTATGGGGTATTCTCGTCAGATGGCAAAGCAAGTAACCGAATGTGGTGTCTCAGAGTAGCGCATAGGCTGAATTCCGAGTTATTGTATCTGTGCTACACTTTGGATCAAAAGAGCTTTTCCGACCAAAATTAGAGGTTGAGCTACCAATGAAATTGTTTTCCGATAATAAAGCAGCCATAAACATCTCATAGAATTTGTACAACACGACCAAACAAAGCACATTGAGGTGAATTGACACTTTATGAAGAAAAAAATGAACGCTCGAATAATCTGCAATAAAGATGGAGTGCAGCCTGTAGAGCACATGTAACGCACAGTCGGGTTGCTCATTCCATATGTAGCATCCAAAGACCAAACAACATATATTTTAACCAAGGGGATGTTTAAACCTATCTTTGACTTTCTTGTAAACAAGGTGATGCATGATATGTAGGTACCAACCTCAGAGGAATGTACAAATGCTGTAGTTAGAATGCGCATTAAGTAGTTGTCCATTATGCATTAGGTAGTTGTACAAGTTAGAAAGCAGATTTAATTTAATAGGTAAACATATTCTTTAGCAAGTAATTACATCACATAGATATCTCTAATGTATGTAAATTATCCTCAGCGCTCTATCAAATAAATTGAAGCATTTGATCCTCTGAAATCACAACCCATTTGGAACAAAACATGAATAATTACGATGAAATATGGAGATCATTGAGGGTGCTCGTGGATCTTTGTTCTGTAGGTACTTATCCTTTAATATCTATCCATGTTTGTGTCTCTTCTATAAGAAGCTTAACATACATGCTGTTTTCATTATCTACATTTAATCTGCAGTTAGATTTGATGTCTATGGTTTTAGATTATTTGGTTGATGTGCTTACTTTTCTATGAACTTTTCTGCCAGATTTTGACCTCCAGACTATATCTAATATCTGTGTTTCCTTAACTTACCTAAGCCTTAAAGGTTGTACTTCGCTGAGTGATGTTGGCATGTCTGCTCTTATATGCAAATGTTTGAAGCTAAACTCCATTGTGGCATGTGACACCTTTTTTGGTCAACAATCAATTTTGGCTCTTTTCTCTTTAAATAATTGTTATGATCGTGTTGCTGCAAAACATAGTGAAAAGAATATTCTCCCGGCTTGTAATCTACAAATGCTGCATATGGGTGGCTGCAAAGGTGGGCTGGTTATTTATTTTATCGTTTTGATCAATTACTTGTTTCTTATGTCTAATGTAGTTTCATTTTAAGTGAAGACAAATTAACTTGAATAAACATTGTTTACAATGTCTGTTATTTACATTGTCGAACTTTTGTTTTTACATAACATTTACTTGTTTTAATAGAACTGTTGTGCACTTATGTGTGTATATATATTATATACAGATATATAAATATATATAGACACAAACGTGTATGTATATGCATACACACGTCTATATATAAACACATAACACACATAGGTGTATATACACACACACACACCCACACACATAATAGGGGCTATTCATGTGAGAACCACAACAAAATTGAGAATGGTGATAACCTGTATATTCATCAAGGCATATGCATTAATGAATTTAAGTGAGCATATATATACATAAAAGGAAGGTTCAAATAAGGAAGGCAAAAGGGTTGAAAACGTAAGAATAAATGATTCATATGTGAATCATTGGTAAATCAAATATTCATTCGAAGATGCATATGTAAACCCATGTTCGCTTACTTACCCTTTTATCAATTATTCACACAGTCATGCGTTGCGTGCACATGCACACACACACATATAGGAAAGGGTTCAAACGAGAAAGGTACCATTTTATGCGGACGTGAGAACGCTTGAAATAGACAACCATCACATGTGATTATAAACCGGTGATGCGCACATAATGGACAAGGACGACCTTGGCCATTATGTCCAAGTTGCCCACACACTATTTTTCCCCATAAGAATATCGCATGTGATGGTTATATGTTCTTGCGTTTTCTTAAATGGTATTGTTCTCGTGTGAACCTCCACCTATATATATATATATATATATAGAGGTGTATATCTAATATACATACATATATATACTTATTTATGTGTATATATATATATATGTTTATACACATATATGATATGTACATACATAAATATACGTACTCTTATACATACCTACATGCACACATATACACATATACACACATACACATTTATATGCACATGTATGTCCATATATATACACACATATATTTTCACAGGTTTGTCTCTTGTTTTGAATTTTTTTTTTTCCGTTTTAAGGCTTTTTGGACATGGTTTTGACAGATGTGATCTTATTGTCTAAGCAGGCATCAACATGACCACTTTTTCTGAGCTTATGTTTCAAGCATACATGTTGAAGAGTCTTTGTTTGAGGGAAACCCAAGTGCTTGATGATGGCCTATTTAGTTTCTTTGGTTCTTCATTAGAGGTGCTTGATGTCTCTAATACCAAGGTATGTAAACATTGTTGAGGAAAATTGTATTATTTCACTCGACATATTTATCATGTAGATTTTATAAATATGTGCTTTTAGTTCCGGAAATTACGTGAAATCATCTGGTTGCCAAATGTACCTTAGGTTGGAAGCATAAATCTTTTTCCCGCATTTATCTTTTTCTAATACAGGGTGAATCAACCAAAGCAAATGTTAATCATCTAGAATCAAATTACTATACAAATTATGTCCTTTCTCCCTCAATTACGTATCCACTTTGCTACCCCACCTAAACCAGGCAATCCTCCACCGTTGCAGATTGCATCTGAAGGCTTCACCTTGGATGATGAGGAGGTAAGAGGTTGCCCATGGACAAATTCTTGACCTGAACAATGACGGTCACCTTGTCATAGCAGCAATCATAAATGATGGAGGAGAAGAAAATAAAGAGAAGAGATAATGAAGAGAAGGTATTACCAATAGAAGGGAAGAAAATTTACAGTAGAAGAATTATCGAATTACATATTCAACATTGGAGGCAACAAACAGAAAGGAATCAATTTGTTGACAGCTAGAAACGAGAAATCTAGGTTCGTGTCCAGACCCAAAACCAGCGGATGTCTCTTTTTAACCGCCTCAGGTTAGGTCATTGGGAGATACGTGCACAATCGACTTAGAGAGGTGTAGTGTTTAAGACGGTTTCCTCGATCCACTATTCGTCTATCCGTAGAACAACGAAAATAAATGGGGTCCATGTTCGCCCAACCCACAAGTGGTCCATGAGACGACCCAAAGCAGTCAAAATCCAGTTGCATTAGGACATGGACCTTGTAGCGATTTCGATTGCTTATTCAGTTGGGATTACCATCCGACTTACCCACAGGGCACTCCATACAGCGCAAACAAGTCTTAGGTAACGTTTGGTTCGCAGATTCTGGAGGAATCTGGAGGAATTGGAATGTTGAATTCCTTTGACCAGATTCATTTCCTTCGTTTGGTTCATTCTTTTCAGCGGAAGGAATCTTCAGATCCTATGAATTCCATGGATAAAGGATTTTAACATTCCTTAGCAACTACATGGTATTTTGATGGAATGGAATCTCTATCTTCATTATACCAAATATGCCCTTAACCTAATATATTATAATCTCACAAAACTCAATATGACCATCGTCAACCACCTCTCGACCACTATTGATCTGAACCACTGCCGACCACCACCACCGACTACCACCGATCTAAACCACCGCCGACCACCACCACCGATCTGAACCACCGTCGACCACCACCACCGATCTGAATCACCGCCGACCACCACCAACCTGAACCACCGCCGACTACCACCGATCTGAACCACCACCGCGTACCATCACCACCGACTACCACCGATCTGAACCATCGCCGACCACCACCACCGTCAACTACCACCGATTTGAACCACCACCGACCACCATTGATCTGAGCCATCGCCGACTATCACTGATCCGAACCACCGCCGATTTGAGCCACCACTGATCTGATTCACCGTTAATCTGAACCACCGCCGATAACCACCATCTGAACCACCATGGACCACCACCGATCTAAACCACGCTGACCACCACCACCGATCTGAACCATCGTCGACCACCGCCGACTACCACCAATCTGAACCACCGTCGACCACTACCACCGACTACCACCGATCTGAGCCACCACTGCTCTGATTCACCGTCAATCTGAACCTCCGACAATAACCGCCATCTGAACCACCGTGGACCACCACCGATCTGAACCACTGTTGACCATCGTCATTTGAACCACCACGGATCACCATCGATCTGAACCACCGCCAACTACTACCGATCTAAAGCACCGTCAATCTAAACCACCATTGACCATCACCGATATGATCCATCGCTGATCTGAACCACATCTGACCATCGTCACCTGAACCACAATGGACCACCATCGATCTATATTACTGCCAACCACTAACGACTACCATTGATCTGAATCACCGTCGGACACCGCCGACCACCACTGATTTGAACAACCACCGCCGCCACCGCCTATTTGAACCACCGCTGACCACCTCCATCTGAACCACTGCGGATCACCATCGGTCTGAATCACTGCGGACCACCACCATCTGAACCATTATGGACCACCATCAATCTGAACCACCATCAATCTGAACCACCGTCGAACATCGTCGATTTAGAAATGTCGTTTGGCTTATGATTATATTTGGGTTGTGTATTTTATATTGTTTTACATATTAAATAATTATTTTATTAAAGTATTTTTAGTTTTAAAAAATTAAAATTTCAAAAAACGGCATTTTGGTCATTTACCAAAATTTTATTCCAATTCTAAAGCTACATTCTGTGAACCAAACAGAAAGATTCCAATTCCTTAACAGATTCCATTTCAATGTCTGCCAACCAAACAGGTGGTCAAACCTAACAACATTCCATTCCAATTCCTTCAAAGTCAAATTCCTTTAACAGATTCCATTCCATCCAAAAACATTCTGCGAACCAAACACCACTTAGGGATGAGACGCCCCAGGGTGGAAAGACGAGTTACTATTTTCCCGAGCTCATTTGGACTTTGCACCTTGCGGTTGAGTGGCTTCACTCCTATACTAGAACCCTGCTTCTTCGATCTGCAACCTCCTATCTTATTTGACCTATCTTCTAGGGCCCTTCTATCTAAATCATTAAAATATGATGTTTTTCTTCTGCTTTTGAAGATGAACCTCCACCTATATATATATATATATATATCTAAATCATTAAAATATGATGTTTTTCTTCTGCTTTTGAAGATAGGGGCATCAAAATACACAATAGGGAGGGTCCTTTTAAGTGGATGACTCGTCGGGCTGTCGGAGGGGAACTTCTTTCCGGGTCCAACTTCATACCTGGCCTTTTTTAGTTTTCAAGGATCCTTTGTACGGTCATCGAGGCGGCGATTCAGTAAAGGGTAGGAATATAGGATGAAGGTTCAAAGAGTAGGACTACAAGGGTGTGAAAGGTCGTGAACTTGGGAAAACAATAGCACCGTAGAGGGAGTGAGATCGATTGAGGTGAGAAATTGTTAGAATGTAGATAGAGAAATATTACAAGACTGAACCGAAATAACTGTCTAAGCATACTTACAAAATAGACTCTCTACACACTTATTTATAGTATAGGGAACTGTAAAATCACATGATTGTAAAATACAAACTAATAAGAACAAGACACTGTGTTCTAATATGATATAGTCCTCAAGTACTATTACAAAAGACAACTCTGTTGAGTACAAAGTCTGAACAAGTACTTCAGACTTTCTTCCAGAGCTCCGAGTCCTTGAGCTCCAGACCTTTGAACTCAAGTCTGACTTCAGTTTCAGAGTTAACACTTGAGAGATTCTTTGAACCAACTTCAGATCTGATCTTTCAGTCTCCCCCTTTGTGTTCAAAGTAACTCTTGGGCAATTGAGTAGAACTTGATCAACATTAGCTCTCTCAAATAGATTTGGGCATTAATCATGTCTTCAATCCTTTTACAAGTATCTGGATCAATTCTTTTGCTCCTCTCCAGGCCTCCTCCTCTGAAAGCTTCCAATGATCCAGTGCAAAACTTGGCACATTCACTTGCCCATAATATACTTTTTTCTTTTCATACCTGTACATCAATCCATCTTCAAGCTCTTGTACAACATATCCAATTTTAGTTCTCTAAGTCCCTCTAAGTTTTCTGGAAGGTGCAGTCAAGTTAACTCTTGGACATTTTAATTCAAATTCTATTTGAAAGTCCATTAACGTTGCCAATCTAATTACTCTTGTCATAGCCTTCTTCACAAATACTAAGGCTTGTCTAAACTCCAAATGCCTGTCTTCAAGGGTTTCTAACAAGTTTCTCAGCTCCCAAAGGTCAAACCAACTAAGATTTTGAAATCAGCTTCAGTGAACATATCTCTTTGATCTTCTCTTGTCACTAACTGAGGACAGTCAATTGTCTGATACGCTCTCATTTTCACATCCTTAAGCCTTACAATCTTGAAATTAGATTATACTACTGCCTGAGATTGAGACTTTCTTCTAAAAAATGAGGAATATATTGCTTTGAAAATATTTGTTTCTTTGACAAATGTAGTGTGTACATACTCGTTAATTTGAAGAATTAGTTTGAATTATTCGCTTAAAGTTTGATGAACTTCTTTTCGCCTCAAGTGGTTGTAACTCATGCTCCTGTTTGAACATATATTTAAACTTCTTCAAGAAACCAAGATTCAAAATTTGAACTTTCAGTCCTTTAGTATACTCTTTTGTCATCAACATTCTCCTTCAGGTTTTCAACAAAGTCTAGTAGTTAAAGGAAACTATTAATTAATTAAGGGAAAGTCAACAAAAGCCTTTTCTAAGCATGCTACATGCTCTGAGATAATCTGCTGTGAAAGGTCTTCCAAAAGTGGCTTTATCAAAAGTCAACTCCTGTTTTTTCCTCTAGCAGTGTTTTAGCAACCTGCTGCAGTAACTTGAACAAATCACTTATTTTGCATAGTTACTCATAAATCAATTCCAATTCTTCAACCTAGCTCCAGACTTACTAAGATGTAAAATAGGAATAAAAAGGACTCCATTTGTGTTTTTGGGAGTAAAAGAAAATAAAATAGTTTCCTAAATAGGTGCTAAAGTGTACATTGTTGTAGCATTTATCGGCTGTAGAAGGACAAAAAACCAAGTAGCAATGGTTTTCAGTCTGATAATTAGAGAGGGTACTGGTTTAGAGCTTGGTAAGACTATTTTTGCTGAAACCTCCACATGTTCCAATGGGAACCTTAGATGTAACTGGGATTAGACACATACGGTATTCCAATCATTGTTGGCCCCTTGAAATCATCAATGACAAATTCACATAGACTTCGGAGATAATGGATGTTAAACGACAATATGCTCAACTGTGGAAAATGAATGAAAAGGCAGGAGAGGGGTACCATCTATCAAGGTAATGAGGACATGATCGAAGTATAGTGGTTAATCCGAAGTGCTCTTCCTAATTGTTTGAAGGATAATACAAGAGAAATGTCGAGATTATTTTTCTAAGAATTGGTTCATCTCGACCTTCTAAGGGGCTGTTTGTTTAGCTATGAATGGTTCCATTTAAAGCTGATCTCTTAATTGGTCAGAGGCAAAAAGTGTTTGGCAAAATTTTTGTATCCTCTTAATGGTGGCAACAACCTCTTGCCATTTTGTGTCTAGGGCATTATTAAATGGTTCAGATCCTTGTTTATTCCACATATGCCCTTCACGCCTAAACACCAGCCGCATCCCACACATCCTACACATCTAGAGCCCTCCTTTGCCGGTTGATCTCTCCGGTCGTCTCCCCTATCTCTCCGGTCGTCTCCCTCTAAGCGATTTAAGGTATTTCTCTTCTTTTTAGCCACCGGTTAGCTACTGTGATTTCAGATTCCTTCTTCCCTTGTTGATTCTTCACGAATTTGAGTTTTGTTTTAGCTTTTCCATCACCGGTATGGTTGATTTTCTTGACCCCAGTTCTATCACATGACTCCCAGTTTTATCACTAGCATGGTTGACTTTCTTGACCCTATGGAGATTTGTGATCACCATGGAATTTGAAGCTAGATATGCCGGTTTTTATGGCCATGGTCCGGATTTTATTGATGGTGGGGGAAACTGGTTGGACTTTTTTCTGGTTCGGTCAAAGATCGGAGTTGATATCATTGAATCTTGATATATCTTCTCTAACCTCATATTTGTTCTCTGTATTGCTTCAAGAATCTACTTAAGGGCTTTGACTTCTTTGCTTGAAGTGTTGAACTCCACTTTAGTCAACCTTTTTTCAATCTCACTATAAACAAAATGGTAGCCATGGTCAACCTTGTTGCAGCCATGGTCAACCCTCTCAGGAGCTTTCTTATTCTTGGCTGGGTGTTTCTTGCCACCTTCCTGCTTCCATGGAGTTGGTTCTACAAAATTCTTGCAACTGCTTTACCAATTCCTCTTTGAGGTGAAACAGGAATGCGACGTTTAGATTCCTCACCTTTTCTTGATCTCGAAAGTGAAACCATCTCGTCATCCAAACGGGGTTTGATCATCTTCAAGCTCTCATTTCCGTTCATGAAATCTTGTAAAACCTCCATTCAGAACAAAGGGTTAAAATGTTAATTTGTTGTCATTTAGATTGTCCATTCAGAATAGTTACCAAACAACCAATTTTCATTCAACACCATATCATGCAGAGCCTCTTAACCTTACTAACCACTTAACCATTCAGCATAAAATTGTTCAGCAACTCCGGAGCAGCCCCTAAGTATCGGAAAATTAGTTTGGTCCTCATAAATCTTCTCTCTGAAGGTAGTTTGCTATTAGATGGTGCTGGTGTTGAAGGAACACGTGGTAAGAGGAAAAGACTAAAAGGCCTGGTAGTCTAATGGACGATAACGTAGCATATCCAATTGTTAGAAACCGGAAGGCGTTTGAAACGTAGGTTTAGAGGTCGTGGTTAATCTCTCTGCTGGACATTGATCTCAAACTTTTGTATCTTTTGAAAGGCGCACTTTGGGTTCGTAATGATGGTGGAATTATACCCGGATGGAAGATAGTTTATTCTGGGGACACTAGGCCTTATCCCTATCTAGTTGAAGATTCTCAAGGAGCAACGATTCTCTTACGAGAGACAATTTTTGATGTGCTGACTGAGGAGGCCATAGTAAGGAATCATAGCACAATAAAAGAAACCATCAAGGTTGGGAACTCGGTAGGTGCCAAATCATCCATACTCATATTAGACAAAGATATCTTCAAACTCCCATGTTTAACATAAGCCATATGCTTAAAAAGTGCATTGCTCTTGCTAGGATGAGGGACAACTTTGCCAATGTATATGTGGTTCATAGACTACATTCTTGTCTAAAACTGTTACTTATAGTTAGTAAATTTGATGATGATGAAAGTAATTAGGGACAAGAAATTTTGGATGAGTCTATGAGTGGGCAGAATTCCATGAGTGGCCGACTTACCAAAACTAGCTTGATTTTGACTCTAGCATGGAAGGAAAAGGGTAGCATAATGATAAGGCATTCAATGATTAGCGACTTCAGAGTTTGTGCCCTCGTGAAGGTGAAATGGGTTCAATTGGGAAGGTGACTTTAGTGGTGGCAGCTGGTTGGGGGGATCTTGTAACATCTTGGCAGCACAAGTTTCTTTATTTTTTCTTTCCACCTTAAGGACAAGGTGTTTCTTGGGGGTGGGGTAGTACGCCAAGAATCTAAACAGGATGGGGCCAGCAACAAAAAGTAATATTTGATAAGTTAGGAATAAGGGTAACTTGGTGATTTTCTTCAATGAATTGTTAGGGGTTGAGTATAAATGGTGGAGAATAGGAGATGTGGTGGTATGCTGAAAATTTCCTATTGATTTGTATGGAGAGGCTATCCTCTCGAAAGCTATACTTGTCTTATATTTAATCCATCTAATCCTTCAGCTTACCTGTTCTCTCTCTCTCATTCTGTTTGTTAATTGCTTGAGGGTCCGGTTCTCAACACATGCTTGCAAATTTCAGGTTTCTGCTGCTGCAGTGGCTCATGTTATTGGCAGAAATCCTGGGTTGCGATGTTTAAAGGCTAGAGGATGTGAAAGTTTGCTACAGCAGGAAATCAAAATTAAAGGCAGAGAATATTCAAACAAAATTTTTCCCTTTGAGCTCGGGAAGTTCTGCAAATTGGATGAAATTAGTGTTGGGTGGGGGTTTTCATACATCTCTCTCGAGGCTTTGAAGCCTGCAGTTTCATGTCTCAAAGCAATAGAAGTGGGCTTGGGTGGAATGTTAGGCCAGGATGGGCTGAAACGGCTACCTGCAGTTTGTCCTTCACTGGAGTCTGTAGTTCTGTATTTTCAGGTATGTAGGTTGAGGTATTGTTTACGTGTAGAAAGAGTGTTTATTGTAACATATTTACAACTAATATTTGAAAGAAAATATGCACTTGCAATGGGAGTCCCTTACTAGGGGTGTGTGTTGTTTCACTTATCATTGTCAATAACTACTTTAGGTTTCAGAAACTATATACCATAGCACCAGAAAAATAGATTTAGGCGTGATTCATATGAATATCAACCAACTCTCTATCCAGCATTACTCAAGAAAGCCTTGCTTGTCCTTGTCATTGATTTAACAAATGAACGTACCTTTGGAATTCAAGATAATTCAGGCTTGTCATCTTTCTTTTGACCCATCAGACAAAGCAAAAAATAAATGACATGTGAAAATGGATGATTGGTACACTCTCCTTCAGTTGAAGCTATCGAGGGAGAGATCTGCAACCCTTTCAGTTCTTCAATGCTACTGCTTCTTGGGCTTTAAGTTATTGATGAATTCTCATTCTTCTCGTGACACAAATACATACATACATTCTGACGTGATTTTTGTATATCTCTTTAATATATAAGCTCCTGTTTTCTTTTGTTTCTTTGCTGAATCTGGCAGGTGATTTCTGATCATCTCATAGTAAATCTGCTGGAATCCCTAACACACCTCAAATCATTTGCTCTGTGCCACTGTCTTGGTGAGACATCTTCATTGAGTTTTAAAGTCAGCATGCCAAATTTGAGAAAGTTGAGACTTGAAAGGGTAGCACCATGGATGAGCAATGCTGATTTGGTTAGCCTGAGTCGGAATTGTGCAAACTTGATTGAGCTGTCATTGCTGGGATGCAGACTTCTGAATTCAGGTTTGTAGTCATTGTCTGCTTGTTTCATTTCAGCTATATTTACCTACTGGCATGACGACTATGAAAGTAGGTAATGATCGAGGTAATAGTACTATAGATGCATTGATATGCCTTGAGGGGGATAGCTACAGTATTGCCTACTAATTATGGGGTATCAACTTGGCTAAAAGAAGGATGTGGTGAGTGGATGAAGGAAGAGTATATCTCAAGAATAAATGAGATCCAAATTTACAGTAATTAGACTGAATGGTATGGGGAGCTTATTCACTTACCCATGCGTGGTTTTTTTTCCGGCTTATTGAGTAACCCATTGGGCCGATTTGGCTTATTTGGTAAGAGCTCCCCCTTGCCTTTATGCATTGAGCCACATTTCATCCCTTTATGCCCCTGTTTTCTTTTTAATTTCTCTTCTTTTCAGTATTTATTTTGTTTCATTATTTTGTTTTAATTTCTTTTTGTTTTAATCTTTTTCCCTTTCAATATTTTGTTTTAATTTCTTTTCTTTTGTTTTCAAATTTTCTTTTGTTTTACTTTTCTTATTTGTATTTTTTAGTTTCTTTTCTTTACCTTCTTTGATTTTAACTATAGGTCTTGATGATGTGTAATGTAATATCATAATTTTAAATGTTTTACAGTCTACGATTCATGTTTCATAGTTAATAAATAATGATCTTTTTCATTGTATTGTATTTACGAGAGAGATCTAGACATGGCTTGAAGGGAAAAAAGAAACAACCCCTTGGAGTTTCTAGATTTTCAACAACAATTTGATATGTAGCCTAGAAGGTCAGAATAATGGCATTCAAGCTACTAAATCACTTGCGCTTGCTTACCCTTGGATTTCCTTGATGCCTTGTCTTTCTGCGAAGGTAACACAAAACCGTTGAAGGAATTAATATAGGGATATAATACTGTTATTGTAGTGACAATGAAATAGAATCAAATAGTTGATCAATGGTTATGTTCTTATTCTACAGACAGATTTAACATTAACAATTTAGAAAAAGCCGTATCATGCTCTAAATTTTGTCATAACTTGATTGTCTCATCTCTATTTGGTTTCTCATGGTTTCAGTTGACTTTATTATTGCAGTTATAATGAAACATAATCAAACAGATGATGAAAAGGCTGTGTTGTAGTTCTGCTGACAGATATTTAACGTGAACAATTTACAAAAAGCTGTATAATGTTATAAATTTTATCTTTGCTTTTCATTTAATGGTTACACTTTGTTTTTGTTTTGATGGGATTATATTTAATGTCCGTTCTCTACTGTGTATAACTAAATGAAAGTTAGATTCAAACATATAGTTAAATCTGTCCTATCTCCTGTTTTCTCTTTGTAGAATCACAAAAAATCATTTCAAGTTGTTGGCCAGGCTTAATCTCTATCCATCTTGAGGTATGCAACTAACATTTCCTCAGTAATTCCACTAGAAGAATGTGTTAAAAGAAATCTAAATGCTTTAAAAAAACTTGTTATTGAGGCTTGTTTTCTTTATTGGTTGATATTCTATTTTTCTTCTTGTCTATTATATGTTCTGCACATGTTCTAGTTGGTGAAATACTAGAATTGGAGTTTTCCTAGTAGTGATGTTCGACCTGGGAGAAATTGATATGGCCCAACCATTATTTGCTAATAGGCCCAAACACTCAACCCATATACCCACCAAGTTGAAGGACTACCAAATGTAGTATGGGCCACATTACAGTAGAAACCCTCTTAGGTGCTAGGATCATATTTTTACTATTGCAATTTGAGCCCTAGATGATTTGTAGATGTTTTTTTGTTACTATTGTATGGCTGAAATGTAATTAGAATTTCCTATTTTAACTCAAAGAAGGGAATAGCCAGAAAAAGGTATTTGATGAATCTCATCTTCTCTCTTCATTCTTCCCTATTCTTTCTTCTTTTTTCTTAAGAACCCTAGCATTGGTGCTTTCATTACCCTGGAAATGCATGATAACTCATGCCAAATCCATGGATGAACTCGGGGTTGCAACATAGGTCAATAGTCAGGCTATTTCTGAAATCAACACCAAACTCACGGATCTCCTTCTAACTCCGGCTCAAAACCCTAAAAATTTGCACGTATTCGATCCTCCCTCCATGCTGTGAGCTCTCCTTCGATGGCTCTAATCCTTTGGATTGGATTTTCCAGCTGAACGGTTTTTCTCCTACCACTCCACACATGATGAACAACACATTGATATTGCTAGTTTTACATGACTGGTCAAGCCTTCACATGGTTTCAATGGATGCATCGAAATAAGCAGTGGTCTTCTTGGTCTTGGTCTGCTCTCACAAAGGCTCTTCGACGACACTTTGGGCTTTCTTCCTTTGCTGACCTTCAAGGTACTTTGTTCAAATTGTCACAGACTGATATAGTAGTTGCCTACCAAACAACTGTTGAGACCTACAACAATTGAGCAACCAATCTCTCCCCACCTGCACTGCTGAGCTGTTTTATGTCAGGACTCGAGGCGAGGTAATTTTGCATAAACCTTATGATTTATCTGCTGCAATCGATTTAGCAAAGTTCGCTGGAGAAAAAATTTCAGTCAATCAAAACCCCCTTAATCGAAATTCACAGACCAGATTTCAATCACCAACGATTCCACCGTTAATCACACACCCACAATCACCCAGTTCCCACACTCCCTTATTAGCTTTACTACCCCTTCCACCGCCACCTAACCAACCTCTCCTTCCACCACCTATTAAGAAATTAACAGAATGAGCAACAAAGATGTCGAGCTCAGGGACTGTGTTCTAATTGAGATGAGTGCTTCCGACCTGGCTATAAATGTGAGAACTGATTTCTGTTGCAATTGCTCGATGGGGATGGGGATGAGGATGAGGATGAGGATGAGGACTTGGACGCACTAGATCAACCATTAGAATACCTATCACGATTAGGAAATACAGATCAGGTCCCCGAAATTTCTCTCTGCTCTCACTAGAATAACCCGTCCCCGAACCTTCAGATGGAAGTCGATAGAAACTCAATGCTCGTTATAGAAACAATTGCCAATATCAAAACCTTGATCGTGAAGAAACCTTGACGCCTATGAAACAGTGGCAGAAACTTTTCACAGGATTTAGGGTATTTTCTCCGCACCCGCAAAGCAGAGTTTCGCGTTCACGAGACATTGACAGCAACCATGGTCTTTCATCTTCATCTCTTTCAATGATTTTTCCTCTTTGCTCTACATTTCCTTCTTTTTTCCTTCCTTCTTGGCTTCATCTTTGGTTCCGTGAGACATAATAAGCTTTAGGAACACCCGTCTTTGCCGGCTCTATTTTCACAAGTTATTTCTCAGACTTCTTTTCCACGTTCACTTGATTTTTCTCTTCTTTCATCACCTTGAGCATGCCTTCACCCATGTGAGCTTTAAAATAATGCACAATCTGCACAAAAAACACATACCAAAAGCATAAAAACTATCTCGAAAAAAATTCCAACCGTAATTAGAGAAATAAAGGAAAAATAAATATAAAGTGCATGAAAATGATAGACTAAACACTAAAATTCGCTCATAATGCAACTGATATACACAAAATTAGGTGCATAAAATGCACTTAACAAACCACCCATAAGCTACACTTTCTTGTCGTCAAGAAAGAAATAGAATTTATTCGGGTAAACGGAAAGAAAAGAAAGAAAAATGAAAGAAAATCTTCGAAGGTGTCAAAATGAGTAATCCCACAATCTCATAAACCTAATTAAGCATTAAGATTACACATCATAAATAAACAACCAAACACCATGTGTTGCAATGGAGTAAACATAAGTAGGAGTCTGATTACCAAAGTGTCAAACTAACACACACCAATGAAGCATATAGCAAAAAAAATCGCAACCTAAAAAGATTTCGAAAACATACCATAGCCGCTAAGCGAAGGGGTACTGATCAATAAGGATGGATGCTTATGTTATCGCTCTATGCTCTCAAGCGTGTATAGGGACGTGTATATGCTCAAATTCGTCCCAATCAAGATAAATAGAATGTAGCCTTGACACGATCAAACTTATTGTCAAGTCCAGAATTTACCAAAACAATACATGTAATGAGGGCTTTGAGGTAAGGTTAGAGGTTAAAGGTAAGATTAGGCTCAATTGTTGGTGTTGGGAGACTTAATTTCTTTGGTTTATGGTTTTTTTGTTGTATTCTTTTTTCAATAAGGCTATTGTGTCACCTATTGATTTGGTGATGACTCACTGATCTGTCCCACTATCCTATCAACACTTAGTAGTTATTGGTTTCTTTGTATATTAATTTATTTGTACATACTTAAAGCCCTTGGCAAAATCAAAGACTAGTCGATGTGAAGACGATGCTGTCAAAATTACACACCAAGACTCCAAAGTAGCTGATTAGAAGATTGAAGATGTTTTGAAGCTACTAGCCGATTGAAGAAAGATCTTCATGCACCAAGATTCTAAGTAGTTTTTTGAAGCTACTAATCGATCCAAAGATCTCCCTACAGACTAACCATATCTCTGCAACACCTGTGTACCTGATAAAGACTTTCCTTTTCATTAGGTTTGTCTCTACTGAACAGTGCTATGTGCATACAAAGTACGATGAAAATGACATATCAACTGTGGAAAGTTTCCTTGGATACCAAGGTAAGGGCTATCATTGCTTTGTCTCTTCCTGATGATGTTTACCTCTCCTTGGTGAACCTCACTACCAGTAAGGACATGAGGAACACCCTATGTGTTCTATATGAAGGAACTATTGAAGTAAAGAAAAGCAAGAAGTTTGGCCTCGTTAGGCAATATGAGCTCTTTATGCATGGGAAAGGTGAATCTCTCACTGAGTACTATAACAGGTTTAACAGCTTCCTGAATGATCTGAAGCTTCATGGCAGGTTTGTGTAAGTTCATGGACTGTTTACCAGATTTATGGGAAAACACTTGCACTGGCATCAAAACATCTTTGACTACATGCCTCTTGCTACTCTTTATGGAACACCCAGATCTAAGCTCACCAACCGAAAAACCTTAGACCGACGCTCCTCTTGACAAGTCCAATAAGGAATGTTTCAACTGTGGCAAGAAAAGTCACTTTGTTGCAGAGTGCAAAAGCAAGAAAATCTCCAAGAAAGTTGACCTTTAACTTAAGAGTCTAACTAGTTAGTTACAGAAATGCATGAATCAACTGAAAGACTTTGATAAATGATCTGAAAGAACAAAAGCTAATTAACAATGTTCTTAACAAAGAAATAACCCAGACCTACCAGAAGCTTGAGAAAGAAAAAGCTATTCTGCATAAATGGGCTAGATCATCCAAAAACTTAGATAAAATCTTATATGATCAAATCCCAAGTGAAGTAAAGGTTGGTCTAGGTTATGATTATGATGAGACATTTGCTTCGGTAGCAAGATTGGAAGCTATCCGAATCTTCCTTGCCTATGCTGCATACAAGAACTTCAGAGTTTTCCAGATGGATGTAAAAAGTGCTTTTCTGAATGATAAACTTACTAAAGACGTCTACGTGAAGCAACCTCCAGGCTTTGAGGATCCTAAACATCAAGAGTATGTCTATAAGTTAGACAAGGCCTTGTACTGTCTTAAACGCCTCCTTGTGCATGGTATGACACTCTCTCTACTTTTCTTTTGGAAAATGGCTTCTCTCGTGGTAAGATCGACAGTACCATATTTCTTAGGAAACATAAGGTAATGTCATTCTTGTACAAATTTATGTGGATGATATCATCTTTGGTGCCACTAAAGAATATGTGTAGAAAGTTTTCGAAACTCATGCAAAGTAAATATGAAATTAGTATGATTGGTGAACTCACCTTTTTCTTAGGTTTGCAAGTCAATCAATCCGAAAGAAATCTTTATAAATCAAAGTAAATATGTTAAAGATCGTTTAAAGAATTGTGACTTCTCTGAATGTTCATCCATGAAAACACCAAAGGCACCTCCTTTGAAACTGAATGCAAACCCTGATGGCAAATCGGTGAACATGACCAGATATAGGGTATTCCCAATCTGGGTCTTTGGTATCCCAAAGACTCGGGTTTTTAACTAACCGGTTTCTCAGATTTTGACTATGCAGGTTGTAAGGTTGATAGAAAGTACAACCTGAAGTTGCTAGTTGTTGGGTGGAAAGTTAGTCATTTGGACTAGCAAGAAGCAACACTATGTGTCCATCTCAGCTAAAGCTGAATATGTTGCTGCGAGTAGTGCTGTGCACAAGTCCTATGGATGAAAAATCAGTTAGCTAATTATGATCAGTTGTTCTCAGAAATTCCTTTTTTCTGTGACAATTCATGTGCAACAGTTATCGCCAACAATCCAGTGCTCCACTCTCGTACAAAGCACATTGATATTCGGTATTACTTTATTAGAAACCATGTGATGAAAGGTGATGTTGGACTTCAT